GGAATGTAAAATATAAGAAGGAATTTAAAATGTAAGGAAGAGCTTGATCATCACTAAACCAAGGCTAGTCATCAAATGCAAAGGGAGCCTGAGGCATCCAGCTTTGTCTGTGGGAGCAGTGCCAGGCTCAGTTTTGGGAAGGTACAGCTGAGCCATGTGTACCTTCAGCAGGCTCCTATGAATTTCCTGGCAGAAACTTCTTAACCCTTCAGGGCTGTCTTTGGAGAAGAGGAGATGCTGCTGAAGAAGACTGACCCAGTAAACAGCAGGTCGTAGGGTAGGTGGAGATCTTGTTGCCACTGAGAGACATGAGGCCACATATTCCCATCAGCCTTAGGCTACTTCTCCTCAGTTTTGCTCAGCCTGCAGGGAAAGAAGCCTCCACCCAGGCCAAGGAGTGTCTTTCAGTTGAGTTTGTTACCTGCCTGACTTTCTTTGTGTGCTCCTCTTAAACATTGTAAGAGAACACTGTGATGCTGTGCTGCCTGCCAGATGAAGAGGCACCTCTGAGAATTCCTGCAGCCTGTGTTCCTGCCCCAGCACAAAACTGTGTCGTTGCAGTGGGAACAGATGGAGCAGCTGAATCAAATTCAAGGGACTTTAGAGAGTACACATCACTTGATGTCCTCACTCCTTGGGGTTTGCCTCCCTTTCAGACTCAGAACTTGGCATATGTTAAGGCAGCTGATTTTACAGGCACCATCAGAGTGGTTCTACCAACATGCATGGGTAGGTTTTCCTCTCAACAAGGGCTTACTGCAGTATTTGAATTCAGCTTGGTTCAGTTGCCGCATCTGGCCTCCAAGTTCTTTGGAGTTACTCAGTTTCTGAATTGACAGAATAGTCCATTAATGAAGCCTGGGCCAGGATAGGTGAGCCAGAAACAAAATCTGTATTTTCTTTCCACACATCTGAAGTGAAGCACTTTGGACTTTTTATCTCCAGAGAAGCAGACTGCACAACCTCTCTGGGCAGCTGCTCCAGGCTCTGCACCCTCACCCCAAAGAAGTTTCTCCTCCTGCTCAGGTGGCACCTCCTGGGTTCCAGTTGGTGCCCGTTGCCCCTTGGCCTGTCCCTGGGCACCACTGACCAGAGTCTGGCCCCAGCCTCTTGCCCCCCGGGGCCCTTTAGCTCTTGCTCAGCACTGATCAGATCCCCTCTGAGGCTTCTCCAGCTGCACAGCCCCAGGGCTCTCAGCCTGTCCTGGCACAGAGATGCTCCAGCCCCTCAGCAGCTCCACAGCCTCTCCTGGACTCGCTCTGATAGTTCCTTGTCCCCCTTGAACTGGGGAGCCCAGAACTGGGCCCAGTACTCCAGAGGTGGCCTCTCTAGGGCAAAGTTGTCATGGTTCTGTAGGACCTGTCACGGTGGTGTGTTCATGATTACTGGAACACAAGAAAGCAGGGAGCTTGCTTTAGTGCACTGTCACATGAAACAAGGCAAATGGGTTCATGTCCTGACCTCTCTTTTGCCATCAGTGATGCCTGTGTACTGTAAAAAGCAGAACCCTGAGCTCTGGAATTGGGTGGCAATCACAGAATAGTTGAGAGTCCTCCTCTGCTGAAGTGACCTGCAGTAGTTGCTGCTTTTCCTGTGACCTGAATTGCTCAGGCTCCTCGTAGTCATCTACGGGTCATTCTAAATTCCATTTGTAGCCTTTTTGGGTATCTGTTTTCTTAGAAGTTTAAGACTCTTGAACAATTAAACAATCCGATTAAGAGATTGTTGCCCTGGGGCTGTAGCAGGGAAGTGTGTGGCCCTGACCTGCAGAACCATGTGCTGGTGTTCCTGGGGTCAGGCTCCTGAGTGCTCAACCACATACCCAAAACTCCAGTGCCCACTTGTTTCTCTCTCTGACAAATCACCTGCCTGAAAAGTAGTTCCTAGAGTGGCTCAGGCACCTCCTCTTAGCCAAAACTCAATGCATCATATGGAACACTTTTTGTCATCCAGCACATTTGCTTGTTGAGACCCAGGGTACTCCAGCATCATTTTGAAGCCATTGGGGAAGCCCATGTTTCAATATAACCCAGCAAAATGCAGATAAATCCTTCCTGTCCTGTACAGAAGAGGCTTTACTGAGGAGGGAGTTTAAACCAGAGCTCTCTGCTAGACAAAAGCATTCTCTCCCAGGAGGAAACTGTAGAATTTTAATGAATTTAAAGCTTGAGGAGAAAGAGCAAATGTTTTGTTTTTTAAATGGGCAGGAGTCCCATGGATAGCACAGCACTGGGGCTCACACAGGCAAAGTTTTATTTCTATTTATACTCCTGAGTCACTGATCTCTGCCAGCTCACTTCATGACTCTTGCCTCACCCTCTTACCTGTTGAAAGGAATAACAGGGGCACACTTGGCTGGTGCAGGGCTGCAGAAGACAGGTTGGTTTTATTTCTGTGAAGCAATTTGAGATGTTTCAAAGGAAAACCCCTCTCTAGTCCTAGTTGTTCCCTGTGTTTGGAACACTGCATTAAACATTCCCGTGCACAATGTCACTGTTGGAATCCCAGATCCTTCCTATTTATCTTTATTGAGAATACAGCAAATCCAAGAGGAAATATAACAGTGGCAGGTCTGATGGGGTTAGTAGTGTGTTAAAAACATCCACTGCTGGGATTAATAGGCAGCGATTGCTTTGAAATCTTCTTCATGCCTCCAGACCAGGCACTTTCTCCCTTTACAGGCTGACAGGGGAGGAGACTTGCCCATCTCTAGGTCGGTGCTCAGGCAGCAGAGCTGAGCATGGGCTTTGCTCCACACATGGACTTGGTCTCCTTGTTCTGTTTCCTTGCAGCTGGTGTGAAGTTCAGAGTCCTGGAGCAGCAGGATGGAAAACCTCTGCGGCTCCTTATGCAGGTAAGCCACTCGTGATGCCCTCTGGGACATCTCCACCTCAGGCTGACCCCAAGGTCCTTCCCTCTTCTGGAGCAGTTCCAAAACTGGTCCCACTGAAAGGCCCCACTTGAAAAGTTTCAGCAGGGAGATGCTGAAACGAGGGGAATACATTTCACAGTGCAGTGACTGGCTGCTGCTTCCTCTGCTGTTTAATACCCTGCTCGAGTCCTCCCTTCAGAGGAGCTGCAGTGTCTGGTGTGGTGTGAAATGGAGTGTGAAGGACAGGAGCAACATGGAGCTCTGTTCTTCAGGAAACAAGACTTCACATCATTATCACCTCACCTCCTGGCTCAGTGCAGCTTCACTTCAGTAACTGCTGAACACAGAGAGGAGCAAAAGAAGGCAGCTAAAGCATCCAGCATGAAGGACCAGTGAAAGGTCTCCCCTCCAGATGTGCTGCTCCATGGTGCATGGGCAAGACAAGAGAGGGAAGGGTCTCCTGTTATTCTCCAGGTAGCTCTGCCAAGGTTTATAGCTTACCTGTGCCTTTGTAGCCTGGCATTGCCATGCTCTGTCAGCTGAGCTACTGAAGGGAATGTTTTTCTGAGCAGAAATGTTGGTAGCAGTGAAGTTCTCGTGGGGCTTTCAGGAGTGACTGTGAAGTTTCCATTCCCTGGCTTTGCAAGGGTGCTGCCACATCACAGGGTCACTTCTCTTGCTCTGCACCTCCTAGGGGGAGAGGCTGCAGCAGCCTGTAGCATTTGTACAAACCCTTGGACGCTGGGGGAGTGCGTGGGAAGGAATTAACTTTGGCTTCCCAGTTCCTTTGCTTTTTCCATCACCAGTCCAGCCCTGTTTCAGCAGAGGTCAGATCAGCACAGAACCAGCACAGCAGCCAGCAGCAATTCAGAGGGCACCCCGCCAACAGATGGGCAAAACCAGCACTTCCTGAGCATGCTGGCTTCCCAGTTCCTTTCCTTTCAGTAGGGCTGTGGTGTAAGAACCAAAACCTGGCATTCTCTGTGGCCAGGAGACTCCACAGAAAGGAAACTGGGCACCAGAGATGAGCACAGGAGCTGCTGAGCAGAGAATCTGGCATCAGTGTGTTTGTGAGCTGAGGCAGAGAGCTTCTCCAGGGGAAAAAGAGCCTGACTGAGAGACAGAGGCTGTGAGTCACACGAGTACAACGAATTTTCCTCGGCCCACTGCAGAGGGAACCTTTTGCTATCTAGAATATAGCATAAGTCATCACAGCAAGAGGTGGAAGTGCTTTCGTGGATGTCTCTCTTGGCCTTCTGTTCAAATAATAATGAGCAGAGAGCCAGTAAGGGCATTTTTTTTTCCCTCTCTTTGTGCTGGTGGAAATGAAAAATGGGCTTGTGTCA